CTGTCTCTACTAAAAATACAAACACTTAGCTGGACGTGGTGGCTCACATCTGTACTCCCAGCTACTGGGGAGTCTGAGGCAGTAGAATGGCTTGAACCCAGGAATTAGAGGCTGCAGTGAGCCAAGATCATGCTACTGTACTCCAGCCTGGGTGATGGAGTGAGACTCTATCAAAAAAAAAAAAAAAACAGAAAAAGAAAACTCCAAAACTAAAATACTCTTCATCTAAGATGCCCAAATAATAAATGGATTACAGAGAATCAAACAGATATAAAATAATAATTTGGTTTTCAGTGGTGGAAAAGAATTTGTATCATTTCAGTATAAACATACTTGTATGAGCATAAACAAAAAAGCCATCATTATAAATGCAATTGAAAATAATTCTGAACACATGGATGATGAAATCTATTCTGGTTCTCCTTACTTCCTTCCCAAAATCTCCTTGTAAAATGAGAGTAATTTCTTGTATACCTCTGATTCTTGCATACCAGAAAATACGGTAGTTCGATATCTGATCTGTTTCTTGTCTCCTCTTTATAACATTTTCTGCAATCATTCATTTATTCAGTATTTACCCATGTATTAAAGAGGTTGTGGGAGCTTATGACTTAATAAGGGAGACACATAACCATGGGGAACAAGTTTTACTATCTGCTGAGCTCACCTGCGTGGGTTTTTCTGTTCCTCTCATTAGCAGGTTCTGCTCCCTGGGCACAGAGGAGGTCATGAGTTGAGAGTGGGCTGTGCGTGTATCCTAGAATCTCAGCCTTCTGGGAGCAGTGACCATTATATGCTCCGGTGGGCTCTCTGGAGTTTTCAGGAAGATGATGAGATATTTTACCAAGAATGTCTGTTGAAAATACTCTTTGCCTTCCAACAGCCTTCACCTGAAGCACTTTGAAGATTCTAAATAACTTCTGCAGCCTAAAGTGGATAATTTTTAACCTAAGGGGTAGGCGAAGTCCCACCGCCATCACCTCTGTGGTGTGATTTCAGGAACCCAGTCAAGCTGCTTCCCCAAATACGATGACCAATGTCTGAGACGACACCAATAGAAATGGATTTCTTTGGGATATTGATTGCTTTTGTTTTTGATTTTCTCCACTCGTCAAGGGAAGACAAAGATGTGAGAAATACGCATTCCAGCTTTTTCATGTGTTATTGGCTGGCACTAGAAGCAAAGGAAGCTCAGCCAGGGCCTTTGCTGTGAGCTCAGACAGGCCAGGCCTGAATCCGGTCCCATCACAGGTGTGTGATGCTGGGCAGCTCTTTTGTTTAACTCCTGAAAGTCAGAGGTCTCATGTAATGCCTGCCACATGGAGTTGTTATGTGGATTGAAATAGCTGATGGGGGTATAGACTTAGAGCAGTATACTGAGTTCTTGAGCAGATATCTCAGTTCTGTCCCTTAACAGTTGGGTGATCTTGGACAACCGTCTGTACCTGAGTTTCAGTGATGTGCTAGAACCAGCTTGCTCTGGTTCACGAAGGGCCGATTTTTGGATATTCATAAATTTTGTGAGCAGGTTGTTACATTGTTGGCAACTTAAAATTGGCCATGGTGGGAGCATTTACACCAGAGAAATCAGCAAACACTGCACAGCAGAGCTCCACCCTCCACCTCCCCACCAGAGAACTGATTCACCAGCACACTATTCTTTAGTTTGTTTGTGAATTTCTAGCAATAATTATAATCAGATAATTTATGTAAAGGTCTCAGCACAGTGCCTGGCCTTAAGGAGGCTTTCATTAGAAGATAGTTGCTACAATTACTACTATACTACTACCGACAATAATTAAACAATAATTATGTTATTGTAAGACCTTGAACATAGTAGGCCCTTGAAAAATCTCAAATCCTTCCCTATTTATTCATTATTATCCCTTCTCTATATATTCATTATTACCCCTTCCCTATATATTCACTGTCGCCCCTTCTCTATATATTACCCCTTCCCTATATATTCATTATTACCCCTTCTCTGTATATTCATTACCCCTTCCCTATATATTCATTATTACCCCTTCTCTGTATATTCATTATTACCCCTTCCCTATATATTCATTATTACCCCTTCCCTATATATTCATTATTACCCCTTCTCTGTATATTCATTATTACCCCTTCTCTATATGTTCATTATTACCCCTTCTCTGTATATTCATTATTACCCCTTCTCTGTATGTTCATTATTACCCCTTCTCTATATGTTCATTATTACCCCTTCCCTATATATTCATTATTACCCCTTCTCTGTATATTCATTATTACCCCTTCCCTATATGTTCATTATTACCCCTTCTCTGTATTCATTATTACCCCTTCTCTATATGTTCATTATTACCCCTTCTCTATATATTCATTATTACCCCTTCTCTATATGTTCATTATTACCCCTTCCCTATATATTCATCATTACAGTTTCTACAAAAGGTCGAAGGGAATCTATACAAAAGTCAAGACTCCAAGGGAACAATTTGTCTCCAATCTCACTTTTCACTCTGAAACACAGTGGAACTTTACTCCTTCTCATTAACCGTAATTCACGGTAGACATTTGGACATATGCATAGCACATGAACAGAAGCCAAATATCATCTCCAGCTTCACTTTCTCCATCCCTTTAAGTGTTTCTCTTTAGTTGCCACTCCAGCTGAATGACTGGGGGTTCTCTTTTTACCATCATGAAGCTGTCAACACCCATGGTGGGCCCTGCAAAGTATAAAGGACAGTTTATCCACAGAGCAGTGGCAGCATCATTGTTTATGAAATGATAACTGCTTCAGGTAGCAGCAAGTTCCAACATTAGCACAACAAAAGCTTTGAGCTGGACCATCTGTTGCCACGTGGACAATCTGGTGGGCTTGCCAGAGCCATTTATCCGTGTCGAGTACATATCCACACTGGCCAGTCCTCACGCAGAGCAGAAAGGAAATTTAAAGAAAGGCCCATCATTTATCACTGTAGACAGCTGGGCTGGAGTGTGGGAAGAGAATACTTTTTTTTCATCCTTGAGAAAAACAAAGACCCTGAAGTTGGGCAGTGCTTGCTCAGCTCCAAGCTTCTTTCTAACCACAGTCTCTCCAGCTTCCTGCTTTCTTCCTGCTTTTCCAGATTGTAGAAGAAGGGTGTAACCATGGATGCCTGCTTCCCTACCCCAAAATATCATGACCAGGTGGCAACTGGGGTTCTTTGGCTTCGAGCTGGAGTGAGCATGTTTATTCGTGCCTCCTGAAAGGGAACTCTAAAATAGAACCTTTCTGCCATTGTCCACGAAAGCATCTGCTGCAAAGATTGCTGACTTTGGAGCTCACAGACCACAGTGTGTGTGCAGGCCCTGTCTGCTGGGTCCTGAGTTAACTGGGACATGTGAATTCGCTTCTCGGAGCCTCAACTTCATGGGCATAATAGCTTCCACCTTGGAGTGCTGTTGGTACACGGAAGGTCATATTCCGATGCCATAGTCTCCCTCTCCATAGGAAATATTGAACGGCATATTTCATTTGGTATCAAGGCAAGGATATTGAGATTATATATCAGGACATTTTCTTCAACCTAAAATTGATTCCTTTTTTTCTGTTTTTAAAAGAAATGAAAACATTTTCATAGAGTCTGAAAATTATTGTGAGCCGTAGGCACTGTGCCTACTGTACCTAATGGATAAGTTGGCTCTGTGTGTGTGTGTTTGAAATGAAATACCGTGGATGAAAGCATCTGGCACAATTGTTAGCAATAGCACAACAAGGTGGTTAAACTCACAGTTTAGAAACTGGGATTTCTTTCTTTCTTCTTCTTCTTCTTTTTTTTTTTTTAAATAGAGTCTCACTCTGTCGCCCAAGCTGGAGTGCAGTGGCGCAATCTTGGCTCACTGCAACCCCTACCTCCTGGGCTCCAGTGAGTCTCCTGCCTCAGCCTCCTAAGTAGCTGAGATTACAGGCATGTGCCACCACGCCTGGCTAATTTTTGTATTTTGAGTAGAGACATGGTTTCACCACACTGGCCAGGCTAGTCTCGAACTCCTGACCTCAGGTGATCTGCCTGCCTCGGCCTGCCAATGTACTGGGATTACAGGCATGAGCCATCGCACCCAGTCAAAACTGGGATTTCTGACTTCAAATTCTGTCTCTTTTGCTTACAAGTTATGTGAGTTTAGACAAGCTACTTTATATGTACATATAATATACAGATAATTAGGTAATTAGACATAAGATATATGTATACACACACATACATACCCACACACATACATATGCACACACATACATACCCACAAATGTTCCTTGACTTAATGATGGCATTACACCCCAATAAACCCATAGTAAGTTGAAAATATTGAAGTCAAAAATACATTCTGTATATCTAACTTTATGACCAAACATCATAGCCCAGCCTAACCTATTTTAAACATGCTCAGAACACTTAGATTAGCCTACCATTGGGCACAATTATCTAGCAGAAAGCCTATTGTATAATAAAGGGTTGAGTGTCTTATGTGATTTGTTGAATATTGTACTGATGGTAAAAAACAGAAGGGTTGTATGGATATGTGAAGTATGGTTTCTACTGAATGTGTATTACGTTTGCATCATCATAAAGTTGAAAAACCATAAGCTGAACCATTGTAAGTTGCATCATGGTAAGTTGGGGACCATCTGTATAATATAAATATATATACAGATGGCCTATAAATATATATACAGATGGTCCCCGATTTACAATCTATATAACTTATATGTATCTCTCTATATGAATATAGATGTATTTCTCATAGCTATTTATATATATATGAATATATGTATTTCTGAAATATGGATATAAATGAAATGGTTAAAATACTACTACTGTTGAGTACTACTACCTACCTACCTCAAAGGGTGATTGTGAGCATTGTATGAATTAATTAATATAAATATTTTAAGGCAGTTGCCTGGAATCTAATAATTCTTTGCTAAATGTTAGCTCCTCTTCAGCTGTCTTTGCTAACTATGTTATTTATAGGACGGTGAGCACACTGAGAAGAAGCAGACATCGTGGTCAAGAGCAGAACCTCTAGAGTCAGAAGAACTTCATGAATAAGGAATAAATTACCTGAGACAACACTACTGCTGCATGGAGGTCTCAACTCAAGCCGTTCTGTGCTGCGGCATTTGTTTTAACCAAATCCCATTTAAATGACCAGGGTTGCATATATACAAAATTGGATAGGTGGCTAATGATGCATGAGCACATTTTATAGGAATCCACTTGACCTGCAAGGGATCAATTCCATGATTTGATTAAAGGCTTAACGTTTCAGAGTCCAGCTTTGACCCTGTGTTCACAGATAAATCTCCAAAGCTGATAGATTCTGACATTTAAGACTTAGATTTAAGGAAAGGCGATATCCCATTCTCCATTTTTCTAGTAGAAATGAAATAGACCCAGCTGCACCATTAATTAGCTGCATCATTTTGTATAACTCTCATATGCTCTCTTGGCCTCAGTCTCCCCATTGGTAAAATAATAGAAAGCATGTTTTACATGTTTGGGAAGCATGTTTACAACTTGGCTTCTCAGCTTCTTGGGGTTTTATAAAGGACTTCCAGTGGCTTCTGGGGAAATCCAGTGGGGAAGACCCTGTCCCCACTTCTCTCAGAAATCTCCATTGTCATTACTGCCTAGACTAGATGACATCTCTATTTAATACTAATGATGATATTTGGAAGCAGTGGGCCAAGTGTGAGATAAAACTGAACAGGAATACACGTAAGATTCTGCACCCAATCCCCCCAAAGGAAGTCCAAGTAGAGGTTAAAGGATGTGATTAGAGAGACACAAATGAGAGCTACTTGGGTGTTTTGGCTGGGGAAAAGGTCAGTATGAACCAAGATTATGATGTTACCACAAGAAAACAAGCCAAAGTGGCTACCGGCAAAAGCAATGACCAGCACCACCATAGGAAACTGATGTGTTTGAGGGCTAAATTAACAGTAAGAACACCTTCAGAACCAGAAAGGTAAATTTCCTTCCCTACTTCCTGGTGGTTAGACCATACTCTATGTATTCTGACTTCATGTCATTGCAATGGTATTTCATGGTCTTTGATTAGAAGTTCCAGCAATATTCACATGCCTTCTAATCAAACCCCTCTTCTCAAAGTTCCCTGGGAAATTAAAAGACAATAGTCGTGTGTCAAAATCAAAATCACCCTAAGCATTTGCTTCCAAGGTTTAGTGATTTGTTCTAAGTGTGTTGCATGGATTATTTTGTTAAATCTCATTTAATCTTCACAGCCACCATGTGAAGTAACTTCTATTATGTCCACTTTTTTTTTCAGAGGAGGAAATTAAGGCACAGGAACGTTTAGTAATTGGACCAACATTTCACATCAAGAGGCAGAGCAAGTGAAAATACAAGTATGAATTTGCAATTACTTAGGTCCAGGCCAAAGAACCTCTTTGAAGGAGCAGTCTTGAAGCTTTTGGCTTTATCTTGAAGCCTAGGCAAGTTCTTTACCTGTTCCTTTAAACACGAATACGAATTGATGTACCTTTCCATGTATGCCAGCCACATGATACAGGAACTTAAAGCAATGACCTTTTAGATCATGCAAGAAAAAAGAGTAACCATCCTGAATGCTCCTATGAAATCAGGCGGCCATGAACATCTTACTTTCTGTCAATTGATGGCAGAAATGCGAAGGAGAGAATGACTCCTGGGTGCATGATCTTGAACTCCACAGTGACCTAGCCTACCATGAACAAGGTCAAATAGTATCTGCATCCTGAACCATGAGATCACTCTTCTCTCCTTTTTTGAATAAGTCAGAAATTAGGTGACAGAGAAGCAAGACAATGGGGTGGAAGCTTCCGTTATTGCCTCCAGCTGCATTTATTCCTGAAAGCCACTTTAAGTGGACTATCACAAACTCAAGTATGTAGGAGCAGGATGGAAGTCAGAACTTGATCCTGAAGCAGTTATCCTATATCTGAAAAGCTGTGATTGGGGAATGAGAGATGAGTCTTGTTGAGGTAGAGTCACAGCCAAGGAATACAGAAAAGCAGATTTAGGTTTGAGGTCATCAAACCAGTCCAGCAATGGAATGGGCTGCTTTGTGAGGTAGTAGTCTCGGACATGGAAGCTTTTCCATGACTAGCTGATGCCTGGCAAGGATCCTATAGATCAGTTCTACTCAAAATGTGGTCTGAACATTGACACCATTCTATACATTGTTACTGGTCTGCAGCGAGGTAAATTCAGAAATTGAGAGCAAGCATTTATAAGGTTTTCTAGCAATTTGATACAATAATTTTCCATTTGTTGAATCAAATAATAAAAATAATTGAAATAACTTAGGCTTATATTGCACACTTAATTTCATTCTTCAAATAACTTATTTTGTTTTTTAGTAATAAGCCAGGTGAGGTGCCTCACGCCTGTAATCCCAGCATTTTGGGAGGCCGAGGCAGGCAGATCACTTGAGGTCAGGAGTTCGAGACCAGCCTGGTCAACATGGTGAAACCCCGTCTCTACTAAAAATATGAAATAGCCACATGTGGTGGCAGGTGCCTATAATCTCAGCTACTTGGGAGGCTGAAGCAGGAGAATCATATGAACCAGGGAGGCAGAGGTTGCAGTGAGCCAAGGTCAAGCCTCTGTACTCCAGCCTGGGTGACAGAGCAAGACTCAGTCTCAAAAAAAAAATAACCAAATAAATAAAATAAAATAAAATAATAAATAAAATAAAAATAAATAAATAAATAAAAGCATTTGCCCGTGCTTCCTCATAGATAACTGAGAGGCACCAGTGTCGAGGGTTTTCTGTTATTGGGTAGAAAGGCTGGGCTGCACCCACATTAAGGTCCCTACCTAGTAAGACTGAATTATATACGTTTTAATGAATAACATACAAAAATTGTCTAGCACAGTTCCAGGCACATAATTGGCACTCAGTACAATCTTTCTGATCCTAATCGCGTAATTGTTATACCTTGAAGATCAACCATTTGGGCACAAAAATGAAAATATTCTATTGACGTAGGAGGAAAGTTGGAAACACTCAATTGCAAAATCTTTGCATCTGCAACTTCTGATACACGCCTGCAAAAATACACATGCATACGTATGCCTGCTTTACATTGTGGGCCTCCGAAAATAGCCTTTTCTTTTTTCTTTCCTTTTCTGCCATGGGTTTTGCTTTTTATCTGTAGTATAGCACGCATCAAATGGGATGAGGTCAAGAGATCGCCACTTAGAGATATCCTAGGGTTTTTTTTTGGTTTTTTTTTTAGCATTTCTATTTGAACTGAACTTTAGAGGCAAACATTGATATTTGAGTCCCAGTACTACAATGACTCACGAACGATCTGCAAGCTGACCCGCTGGTCCCGGACAAAATGGGAGCGTGAATAGCAGTCTTACTGAGGCCACTAGGTGGCGACCTCAAACTCTCCCAGCTTTTACTACAAGCGCTGTTCAAACGCACCGGCTGGAATGAGTAGGGCACACACAAAAGATCATCAACGAGAAGCGAAGGATGGCCGGTACAAGTTAGAGTGAATTATCCTGACCACACCTGGCCAAGGGCTTTACCATACACGCAGTGCGGAAGACTAGAAACGATGCTTACACTAACTCCATAGTCAATTATTTCTGCTTTCCATTGCACAGTGTGGGTTTCATTATGCTCAGCGAAGTCTATTTTTCACAATTTTATGCAAAATCCCAAATTAAAGCGTTCTGTCAGATAGTCCTACCTACCTATGTATGTCACTAATGAGTTTCGCCACCATTCAGGTGACCACTGTCAGGCCACCTTATAGAATTGCTGCTTTAATTGACAAGGCTTTTTTTTTTTCCTACTCAGGTGTGTGAGATATTGCATATGCAGGCAGCGAACTGGACACAGCTGAAATCAAAATGAATGTGTGTGCTGCATTTGGACAGATGAGACCCTAACCTGCCACGCTTTGCAGAGTGATGGTTTTTACATTTGAAGGGAGCCGCTCTCCACCATAAAGTTGGAAGCCGGCCATAAGCCTATCCACGTTTGGCAGGTTTGAGGAGTCCAGATGTCCATCATGAAATGGGTTATTTAATGTATCTGTGGGCTGTTTGCAAAATGGGAATGCCTCCATTTTTGTAAACATCAAGTGGGCAAATGCCAAATGTGTTTGCCCTCAACAGCAACGTGTACATGAGTATTAAGTGCACATAAAGGGTTCTTTCTATTCAATTCAATGCAAATCAAACATTTGCATTTCAATTAATATCTACTTAATTCTATTTCCTACACAGAAGGAGCGCATTAGGTCACTCTGCCAGACTGTGGTGTCTCGTGCACCTCTTCCCTATGGGGCAATTATCAGACTTATCTGTCTGTGTATCTCTCGAATGTGGCACAAATCTGACCTTACCTTCATCCTAACTCATCATCAAATCCAACTTAACCAAGAGTAACTGAAAAAAAAAAATAACCCTGGCTTACCTAAGGTGCCTTCAATATGTGATTCTGGAGAACATAATTCATTCTGGACAGAAACCAAAATCTAAGCCTTGTCAGGCTTCCAATATCCAACGCTTTACTCAAGCTCATCTCCCTAAATCCACGGCTTTTAACCTTTTGTGTGAGTGTGAATGCATGCGCACGGGTGTGTGAGCCTTTTCTCTTTGAAAACGTTAAAACAATGGATTTAGTCCCCAGAAAAAAAAAAGTGTATGTACATGTACTCAAAAGACTATAAAGAATTTTAGGGGGTTCAGAGAACTTTTAGGTGTCTGTGGAGTAAGATCTGTGCTTCATGGATTAAGAACCCATTCTGCGTGCAGCTCAAATTGCATTGAGAATTCCATTTTTTTTTTTCTTTTCTAAAAAAATTATTTGTAGAGATAAGTTCTCATTATGTTGTCTAGGGCTGTTATCTAACTTATGGGCTCAATCCTCCTGCCTCGGCCTCCCAAAGTGCTGAGATTACAGGTATAAGCCATCACATCTGGTGAGAACTCTAATAAAAACAATGGCCAGGTGCGGTGGCTCACGCTTGCAATCCCAGCAGTTTGGGAGGCTGAGGCAGGTGGATCAAGAGGTCAGGAGATCAAGAGCATCCTGGCTAACACGGTGAAACTCCGTCTCTACTAAAAATACAAAAATAATAGCCAGGTGTGGTGGCAGACGCCTGTAGTCCCAGCTACTTGGGAGGCTGAGTCAAGAGAATGGCGTGAACCTGGGAGGCAGAGCTTGCAGTGAGCCGAGATTGCACCACTGCACTCCAGCCTGGGCAACAGAGCGAGACTCTAACTCAAAATAAATAAATATAAAATAAATTAAATAAGAACAATGACAGACATCTGACTACCCATCTTCTGTTCTCCTTCAACATGGCAAACTGGATTTCATTAATCTCACTCGTAGAATTTAGACTAAATACTGTCAATGAACGACACCTTCCCTAAAGGTTCAGATGGAACAAATAAATCGAATGTGTTCAACAGTTACAATGGAACAGAAAGGTTATTTTGATTAAATGCCACAAGTCAGCATGCAATCCTTCTGTAGTGTCCTCTGCACTCAAACGAACCCTCGGCCACGTAGGAAATCACTCCTTGGGGGACTCAGAAGGATTATTTGAGACGTGCTGTTTCTCCATGCCTAATAAATACTAACCGATCCTCAAATGAACCCCTCCCAGAGAGCCCAAGTCTGATGAGACAGTGGAAACAGCATACCCCGACCACATAATCTATTTAACACATTCAATTTATCTGTCTATTCCAACCTTACCAATATAAAACTAGCCCCTCACGCAAGTTCCGCCTGATCCACATTTGCTGACCGTTTTGGCCTGCTAGTACCCTCTTCTGAACCCGCAGAAGGTGCCATTCGTACCACTCAGGGGCCATTATGACTGCAGTGTTTCAATTACTGTTCTCCCGATTTCTTCCACCACACGGGTCCAGGAAGAGCCATCCCTCTTCTTGCCCTGTATGCCCCCAGTTCCTGATGGGACTAACCAGGAACACCAAATTCTTGGTCTCAGTTTCATCTCAGTAAGTCAATTTTGGATGAGGATAGAAATTTATAAAGGCCTCAGCCGAATGTGGTGGCTCATGCCTATAATCCCAGTACTTCGGGAGGTGAAGGCGGGTCAGGAGTTTGAAACAAGCCTGGCTCAACATGGTGAAACCGCTTCTCTACTCAAAATACAAAAAAATTAGCCAGGGGTGGTGGCAGTGATTTGTTTTATTCGACCACAGAGCAGCCGCCAGAGAAAAGGCAAGTAGGCAAGGTAAAAAAGAAACTTCATTAGTTAGCCAACGTGGAGGAAGAGAGGGCGAAGTTCACCGGTCTCCGGCGTTCTCGGGCGAACTTCCTACTTCCACAAAAGAGGACGCACCCAGGAAGCTCGCGCCGCGCGCCTGCCGGAGCGGCTTTTATGTCTTGGGCCTGGGGGTGGGAGGGCAGTGGGCAGGACATGGGCGGGTCGGGGGTCGGGCGGTAGGCGCGGCCACGTGGGTTTCGGTTTCCTCGGTCGGACGTCAGCTTGCGCCTGCGCAGTCGACCTTTGTTTCTCCCCGGGCGCGGGAAAGTTGGTGATGAAGAACCCGGAAATGCGCCATCTTAGTCCCTTCTGTTCTTTGTCCCTCTCCTCCCTCCGTCCAGACAGGCGCCTGTAATCCCAGCTACTCGTGAAGCTGAGGCATGAGAATCACTTGATCCGAGGAGGCAGAGGTTGCTGTGAGCCGAGATTGCACCACTGCACTCTAGACTGGGCAATAGAGCAAGACTCTGTCTCAAAAAAATAAATAAGTAAAAAATAAAAACTATAAAAGCCTAGTTTCTACCCATCTTGTGGGAGCTTTGAATCTGCCCCCATTTTTTCCTCCCAGCCTAATTCTAATCTACCAAGAGACTGCTGAGATATCATCACCTCCAGGCAGCCTTCCTTGATTTACCTTCCCTAACTTAGCACAGCCCTCCCTCTATGTTCTCACAGTCCCCTTGCCTCTGTTTGTAGTACAGTGCTATTACACCACATTATGGTTGTCTGTTTATAATTCTGTCCCTCCACCAGACTGTGACAGTTGAATTATACTGTATCCGGACAGACATTGTGTTTTCTTTTCTCTGAGACCCTAGCACATAGCTATGGTACATAGTAGTTGCTTTTGTAGTGATTGCAAAAGTCAAAGACGAAAGCTTCTCCTTGGGTTTTCTGCACTAAAATGTCAATCATTGCAAACTCCTTCATCATATCTCCATCTTTCAGGGACACATCTTCTC